CAGCTCGGTAAAGCCATGGACCACATCTGGCCAGCGAGGAGGAAGTGGAAGGTACAGCACGGAACTTCCAGGAAGGCTCTCTCTACGAGGATCGAATCGGGTGCGATTTGTGTCCTTCTCTCTGTCTTCTCCTCCTTCCTTCTGCCTCCTGGCATGTGGACATAACGCCACGCGTCCGCAGCCACCATGGACCATGAGAGGACTTCGAGGAGGGAAGCAGGGCGCCAACTAAAGATGCCACAAAGACAGGAGTCCGGGTCCCTGAGCATCGGGATCAGCCCCGTACGACCGACGTCTGAGCTTTTTATAGGGAAGAGAGGAAGAAACTTCTCTTGTTTGAGTTAATGTCATTTGGGGGTTTTAGTTACATGAAAACAAATCTACTTCTGAGTGATAGACTCTGGTAGGGCAAAATTAACGGAAAAGTTGTCTCTCAGTCTGTGTTAGCACATTTGGCCTATGGATGTCCCCCTGCTAGAGCGAACGGCATCCTTTGAGAAAATGTACGTAACTATGTCTTATGCTCGGTGAGGTTAAGCAGCTTGCCCGACGTCACCTAGCTAACAGCGCCAGCGCCAGCACTGATCCCACCTGTGCTCGTATTTGACCTCGCTTGCCCTGTCGCAGGAGCATGGCTTACTAATCGCAAGTCTGCAGACTTTGGAGGGCTTTTTTTAAAAGATTTTATTCATGGGCGCCTGGGTGGCCCAGTCGACTGAACATCTACCTTCCACTCGGGTCATGATCTCAAGGTCCTGGGATGACTCCTGCTCGGCAAGGAGTCTGCTTCTTTCTCTCCCTATCAAGATATTTGTTTGTTTGTTTGTTTGTTTGTTTGTTTATTTATTTACTAGAGCACAAGCAGGGGGAACAGGAGAGGAAGAAGCAGGCTCCCCGCCAAGCAGGGAGCTCCATGTGGGGCTCCATCCCAGGACTCCAGGATCATGACCTGAGCCAAAGGCAGACGCTTCACTGACTGAGCCACCCAGGTGCCCCTAGACTTTGTGGGTTTTTTTTTTTTTTTAATTTTTTTATTTTTTGACTTTGTGTTTTTGATCAACATTATCATCACGTTTAATCCTCGGCAGGCTGTGTAGCGGTCAGTTCTGGCCTGAATCCACCCCAGACCCGAGGAGCCTGGGAGAAACTTGGTTACTCCAGACACATTGCCCCTTCTGGAATCTGCCAGCCTTTACGAGTAAGGCTTTTGTCCATCTCTCCTTCACCTAGTCCCCACCTGTGATGCTCCCAGTCAATGCTTATAGACTCTGCATAACAGGAGGGAGGAGGTTCATGAGAAGTTACTTTTGCTTAGAAGATTTTAGTAACAGGTGGTTCTGTGGACAGGGTTCGTTGGCCTTCTCCAGCTGTGCGTTCCCATCAGGTCAGTTACTGTATTGAGAGAGCACTGGATAACTGACGTGGCTGATCATGGAAATGAGATTTGTCAACCCATCAACATTAAGAAGAAGGGAGAGAGAAGCCTCTTTGTTTATTTGGGCCATTCTGGTTCAATGAGTGAGGGTGACAATGAAATTTAAGTCCTGCCCCAGAAATACCAACGAAGTGACAAGCTGTGTGCTCCTGTCTCTACACTGAGGATAATCTGTTACCTTAATGTGGAGCCCGCAGCAGAGCTACAAGGGTCATGCTGGTTCCTGAAGCAAGGTGGCTCCGAGGGCGGGTGTACCCAGGGCCCAGCTCACCACCTGCCAGTAGGATGAGCCTCCTGAGTTGACGGTTTGTTGTTTAAAGAGTTGAACAAATTTCTGAGTGCCTGTAATGCTGACCCTGAATAATGTTTTCTCAGTGTCATACCTTTTTTTTAAAATTTTACTTATTTAGTCATGAGAGACAGAGAGAGAGGCAGAGACACAGGCAGAGGGAGAAGCAGACTCCCTGCAGGGAGCCCGACATGGGACTCGATCCCGGGGCTCCAGGATCATGATCTGGGCCAAAGGCAGACGCTCAACCGCTGAGCCCCCCGGGTGTCCCAGTGTCATACCTTAACATAGTGGTTGATGTGGGAGTGAAACCAATCATAAAAGTACATAAGACATAGTTATATAATCACCTAAAGACGGGTCCTTTGTGCCTAATGTTAATACACGGTCACACTTGGAGGAAACAAATTAGGTTTCCCTACATGTAACAGAAAAATCAAAATCATGGTGTCTTAAACAAGATTTAAAACTTTTCTTCTCTTTGATTTGAAAGAAGTCTGCACAAGCAGGCAGCATCACATCATCGAGGACCCAGCCTATCCTGTTTTCCTGCTCCATCTTTGTGGCTTCTATTCCCAGAGTCCTCTCGTGGTCCGAGCTGGCTGCTGGGTGTCCTGTGACTATGTACAAGGTGTAGTCCTTCAGAACGACGAAAAGCAGGGAGTCAAAAAAGGAATTCCCCTACCTATGTATTTTCCAGGTGGTCTTTCTGGAACCCCTGTGCCAAAACTTGCACTTGTATCCAGTTGGCCAGAACTGCATGCTCAAACTTCACTGCAAAGGAGACTAGGGCCTCCTAGGTGGGCTCACTGCCACTGGGGCTTTTCTACCCCTAATAATACAGGCTGGCCGTTCTCAACACATTGGCTCTTGGAGATTGTTATGCTCTTGAAATATATTAAGAAACCCAAAGAATTTTTGTTTATGTGGTATCTATTAAGACTTACCTTATTAGAAACTAAAACAAAGATTAAATATTCATTTGTTTATTCATTAAAAAATTATAGTATCTATATCAAACCATCACATTGTACAGTTTAAAATCTTCTAATTTTACATGTTAGTTATACCTCAATAAACCTGGAAAAGAATTAAAATAGCTCCAGGACCTTCAAAAAAAATTAAAACATAAAGATAAAAATTTCAGGGGCACTTGCTGGCTCAGTTGGAAAAGCATGCAACTCTTGATTGATCTTGGGATCACAAGGTCAAGTCCCAAGTTGGGTGTAGCGATTACTTAAATAAACAAACAACGAACTTTTAAAAAATAGAGAAAGTAAAATATAAATAAAATTGCAATTATATCCCCTTTATGTGTTAATAACATATTTTTTTCCAATGTGGAGAAAAAGGATGAGAAGAGTGATATTTCTTTCCAATTTTGCAAATTAAAAAAAAATACCAGATCTAACAGAAGACAGACAGATTCTCATATCTGCTTCTGCATTGACTCTGTTGCAGTGTGTTGTTCTGGTTGAATTATATGAAGAGAATCTGGTTTCACACAGATGTGTGAGTTGGAAAATGGAGAAATGTTTTTAAACCTTTTCAGATAATCATAGATACTGTTCTTTGATACCACCCCGAAACTCACGTGGCAGTTTCTTAACGGCTAGTTGCAGTGTGGAATCTGAAATTGCATCCGTGACTATTTTGTACTCTGTTCCATTAAAATCATTGGTCCATCTAGCACATTGAACACGTGTTTTATGTGCGTGCGGTTTTGTAAAATCACCTAGTGCTCATGTGGAAAATATTTGTTCACAGACTTATACAGACCTTTCAAATGTTGACACATTTCATTATATAACATTTTTTTAAAAATCACATTTTTAAGTGCCACTTCGATCTCAAAAATAAAGCCCACTTTTGGGGGAGTTGTCAAGCTCATGATGACAAATACAAGTTTTCAGGAAATTCCGATTTTCACTTCACAGGTTGGATGTCATCGTGGGCAACACAGCGTCAGTGACTTCCCTTGAAGTGACAGACTCACTCTGTTCAGTGTGGAGAGAATGCCGGCCAAGTACACGAGTCGAAGGCTTTGAGAACCACGCAGTGAGCTGGGAGGTCAGTCAGGGTGTCACTTGAGCCCAGAGACCAGAAAGGGGACCCCGCGGGTGAGTCGCTACGGCCTCCAAGGGGCCGAACGAGACACAGACACACTCTAGTCTAAATCTGTTCTCTTTGGAGCTTGGTAGATGGAGCCCTTCGCCGTCTTTCTGCCTTCTGGAAAAATCTGCACATATTTTTGTGGCTCCTGTTCAGACTGTTGGGGGGTGGTGGCGTCCTTCCTGGCTGATGTGGGGTCAGGCCAGTCCCAGAGGCCCAGGAGGAAGAGCCCCGGGGGGACAGTGGGAGGGTCTCAGAGGGGCCAGAGCCAGAGCCCCGGGGGCTGCAGGGGGCGCCGACGTCCTTGCACAGCACCCAGAGGGCTGAAGGGTGGCAAATGCTGCATCGCTCATCCTGTAGCTCTTCTGGGGAGGAGCCAGCCAGCTCACCCTTGGGTCCACCTCCAAAGGTACGGAGGAAAATGAGCTGCTGCTGCGGTGAGCAGTTTTCCCAAGGTGTGCAGGGGGGCTGGATGAGGGAGTGATCATCGAACCCCCGGAATCTGACTCGTGGCTCTGCCGCTGACACCAATCCGGGTTGGCCTCACACTGAGCATGAGCCGCAGGGGGCTGCAGCAACAGCGTGTACGTGTGAAGAATCCATGCACAGGGGGAGCGACAGATGACGAGCACTCTGTCCTCTACCCCGGGACCTTACGTGTGTGTCCGCGTAAAGGTGCTGCTCGTAGCACAGCGCGCTTGTGCCCACGGGCACGTAAACACACCGCGTCTACATCTGCGCGCCCTGTGTGCTTGTATGTCGACGTGTAAGCAGCAGTGACAATGGAAATCATTTCGCCGGGACCTCAAGAAGGTGACATTAACAGTAACAGCACATGGAGAGAGATCATTTGCTTCTCTTCTTCCTCTATTCCAAAAATATTTTTTTAAAAGATTTTATTTATTTATTCACAAGAGACACACAGAGAGAGAGAGAGAGGCAGAGACACAGGCAGAGGGAGAAGCAGGCCCCATGCAGGGAGCCCAATGCGGGACTCGATCCCGGGTCTCCAGGGTCACGCCCTGGGCCGAAGGCAGGTGCTAAACCTCTGAGCCACCCGGGATGCCCCAAAAATAATTTTATGAGCAGGTAGGAAATGAACAATAAAAATTTTAAAATCATTAATTAGCCTGGACTAAAGTGAAAAATGAGTCTCCCATCCTCTGCCTCAGAAATGATCATTACCAATTCTTACATTACTCACCAAAATATATATATTTAAAAAGTGTACACACACACACATTCCTTTTTTAAGAATTTATTAAAGTAATAAATGTAAGGATTCAAACAGGAAGATCTCGGACTTCTTACCTAAGCTTCATTTTCAGCCCCTTGTGTGTCAGCAGACTCCAGCACACATATTTGTGTCTATGATTTACACATGTGTAAGTTTTGTGCCGGAGGACAAATTCTTTGTTTCAGAAGAAAACTTCTGGAACCCAGAGCACTGATTTCCTTCCCAGTTCATCTGGTTATTAATCTTCTTAAAAGCTCAAGACAAATAAAATTCCCATATCTGAGACCTTTGTGGTATCCCAGAGGCAGGTGAGAATCATTCCCGTGGAGTTGTCTTCACGTTCTGATTTGTCATCAATTCTTAAGAGCCATCCAGTAAAGGTTTATTTAGTACAGCTCTCTGTTGATTTTATAACCAACTGCTGACTGCTTGGGACATAAAACTCTTGATGATTTACAGGTAGTAAATGGGCAAGAAATCCATAAATCACATTCTATGAGAGGGTATAGGTGAACACACACACACACACACACACACACACAACCACCTTCAAAGGAAGAGTGGTAGGCATGTCCAGAAAATGCATATATTTCTAATTTGAGGAGAATTGGGAATTCATTGGTGAGAGGTCCATTATCAACAGCCCCCATGAATTAAATTGTACCGGGTAATATTTTAATGTTCAGCAAGAGGCTTTGCCCTTTATTTATTTAAAGAGATTTGTTTAATTTATGAGATTGATTTATTTATTTGTGAGAGAGAGAGAGAGGGTGAGTGAGGGAAGGGGCAGAGGGAGAGGGAGAGAGAGCATCTCAAGCAGGGTCCCCACTGAGCAGGGAGCCCAGCATGGGGCAGGATCCCTGGACCCGGAGATCATGACCCCCCGGGCCAAATTCAAGAGTCAGAGGCTCAACCACATGAGCCACCCAGACGCCTTTGCCTGCTATTTCTAAAAGAGGAGACTCTGGTTCCCACTTCTGAAATGTTTGGAGGAGTTTTCATCGAGACCTTACCCCGTAAATGATGAAACCTTCCCGAGAAGTTTTTTTTTTCCTACCAAGTCAAAAATGCTAAAGGTTGTCAGAGTCTTCAGATACTCTTGAAACTATTCTGCGGGATCCCTGGGTGGCGCAGCGGTTTGGCGCCTGCCTTTGGCCCAGGGCGCGATCCTGGAGACCCGGAATCGAATCCCACGTTGGGCTCCCGGTGCATGGAGCCTGCTTCTCCCTCTGCCTGTGTCTCTGCCTCTCTCTCTCTCTCTCTATCATAAATAAATAAAAATTAAAAAAAAAGAAACTATTCTGCAACAGATATTTCTCAACATGTAAACAGTCACTTAAAGATCTCTTTTTGTTTTCATATATCTATTATTTCTAGCCCCGTGTTTAGAAAAATATCTGGTAATATGCTAAAGTCAGAAAAAAATAAGTTTCTAATTCCCAAAAAGTCCTAGAGGTCCAGGGAAACTGACAGAGAAGGAGATACAAAGTGCAAAATCTTAAAAAAACATTTTCATTTGGAAAGTGAAATTTAGTAAATATAAATCTGCTACCATGAATAATTTGCCTCCCAAAATACAGTATAACTAGAAATTTAGGATGCATTTAAGCAGAAAGCTGATATCACTTGGATCCTGATTCAAGCAAATGAAGACATAAAAATAAAATAGAGAAAATCAGGGTAAATTGAACACTGGCTAGATATTTGATGACATTAAGTGTAAATTTTTTTAGACATACTAATGGTGTGATTTTTTTTTGAGTCTTTACCTTTTAAAGATATACAATGACATATTTTAGGATGATATGATTTCCTTATAAAAATCCAGTTGGGTGATACAAATATCAAAGCATCTTATGGTACACCTGAAACTCATAATGTTGTATGTCAGTTATACCCCCATTTTAAAAAAAAGAAGAAAAAATCTTAAAAAAAATAAAAAGCTGAAAAACCCTGAAAAACGATAATAAAAATCCAGGTGGGGCTGGGACACCTGGATGGCTCAGCGGTTAAGCTCTGCTTTGTCTCAGGGCGTGATCCTGGAGTTCAGGGATCTAGTCCCACGTCGGGCTCCCTGCATGGAGCCTGCTTCTCCCTCTGCCTGGGTCTCTGCCTCTCTCTCTGTCTCTCATGAATAAGTAAATAAAATCTTTAAAAAATAAAAATCCAGTTGGGGGATTGTGGATGGGGCTGTAATTGCAGCAGGATTGGCCACGGGTTGAGGTTGGTGATGGCCACACAGGGTTCTATGTACTATTTTCTCGACTCTTGTATTTGTTTGAAATTTTTCATAATGTAGAAAACACCAGAACAGTTAAGTTGAACCAAAGTGGTCCTGAATTATCTGTTTGAAAAGTTCTTCATTTCTCTCTCTCACCCTGTCATTCACCAGGAGCTGGGTGCCGATTGTGTGCAGGGCCCTGCGTGAGGCCTTTGGTGAGGGCCAAGTGCTGTGAGCAGCAGACGGCGCCTGGCACGTTGACCACTGCTCAGGACCCGGCAGAAAGCCCTCTGTTGGTAAGAGGCCTACCCCACGGTCACTCTGCGGAGCTTCTGTCTGGGGGCGTGGGGCCTCGGCCAGCCCTGCTCCTGGGGTCCAGCATAAACAAGGCCGGTGAGCGCCCAGAGGTCAGAAGCTGGGAACAGACACCCACAGCCAGCTCTTCACAAACAAGAGGCCTTATTTTTATGCGGTTGCCGCACCCTCTGCCAAGAAAGTGGGGAGGGCATTAAAAAGGCTGATTTTGTAGTAGAGAGCCACTCAGTGCAATTGAAACCAAGACCCGTACCTGGCACAGCAGAGCAAGAGGGGGAAAGACTGCATCTCCGGGAAGGGCCCCCCGCCCCCGCTCCGTGTAAGATACTCCCAGAGCTCTGCAGGAGGGAGCAGACGCAGAGCCACCTGCAGGGAGGGCCATCCCGCTGTTGGCCCAGGGCAGAAAGAGGAAGCCCTAAGAGCTCTGTGTAATGCCTTTCCCAGGGTGCGGGGTGGCGGGCCTCATCTCATAGGCCCAGATAATCCCTGTCCTGCCCTGTCTGGATCATCCGCTATCGTCATTCTCTCCAGCCCAAAGGCCCAGCCCCGGTCAGCTCCTGGGACATGTTTCCAGACAACATTACATTCTTAGGAAGCCTGTCTCTTTTGATTAACAAGACCTCTTAGCTTTCTTTAGGATTCCGTATGCACGGCCAGATCGTGCCCACACACAGCACCCCACCGACGGCTGAGGGCGGATGAGAAGCATGTTTCCTGGTGTTGTGGTCACTTAGACCTGAGCTTTGCCAGCAAGGGCACTGTTCCACCCTGCATGGCTCTAGGCCTTGCCCTGACTGGTGAGTGTCTAGACCCAGAGCCCAGGGCCCCCCTCGTTAAGGCTGCTCACTGGCTTTCCGGTTGCTCTGCAGACACACACTGAGATGTCTGACAAGGCTGACACGGCCCCGTGGGCTGCCAGGGCCACTTCCCACACCGGTAGCCCCAGGGTGGACCTCCTAGGCAGGACCAGACAGACTCTAATCCACTGTCCCCAGATCACAGTCCTCCGTTCCTCCCCAATCAGATACTGGAGGAAAGAATGAGAGAGGGCAAGTATCTGGTTGACTGACATTGCTGGTCAAAGGCCAAGGAAGGGCCTGGCGTTGGAATCCTAAAGCCATGCGGTGGGCTTCCCGTCATGCTGGTGCCTGCAGCCCTCATATAAAGACAGAGCAGGGATCTAGAAGCCAGACAGCAGGTGGAGGTGCTTGTCAGGTGGCGGAAGGGCTGTGTGAGGCTGCAGCGGCCGGCAGTACAGTTTACACAGCCGGCGGGAGCCTCCCGGGGCTGCCGGCCACTCGGCCACTCGAGGGCGTCCCAGGCATGTCCCTCATTCTCTTTGATTAGGTACCGGCCACTGTTCCCTCAGCTCCCAGCACAGCCCTCGGGGCTCAAGAGACACCAGTTGCACGCTGTCCGGCGTGAGCAGTGCTCCCTGGGCTCATGCAAGTCCAGGGCCCGGACTTCACTTCCTCCAGCAGGCCCCCATGGCCCTCCTACGTCACCCAGATCCCTCTTCCAGCCACAGCACCTCTCACGGTGTCAGAGTAACCCACAGACCCGCCTACCACCCCTACCCCAGCCACACGCCCTGTGAGCGCACAGCACAAGCTCTGGTGAGCACAAGTTGGGTGAGTTTGTCACTGTTGGAGCCCCACTGGATGGCCCATATCCTGCCGCAGAGCAGAGACTCCATAACTAACGTTGACTGAATGAACAAATTCCCTACCCCGCGCCGTTGCAGGCCAGCCTCCCACCTTGAGCTCCTGAAGCTCGATGCATCAGTTATCTGTCTGTTAGCACTTCTCCCCTCTTAGAACAGGGGCAGTTGGCGCTGAGCAGTTCTGCTGCCTGGAGCTAAAACTCCCCAAGGCCACTTGGCTGCACATGGGACTCCCGGCGTCAGCGGGATGGATCGCGGTCCTATCTGCCTTGCTCCCACACACGGACGCCCTTCCTCAACGTCTTTTTCCTACATGAGCCTCCCTTGATGCTCATTATAACCCAAATCCAGGAATATAAAGCTGTGGGGTAAGTGAGGATGAGCAGAGAAGGGGCCAGGGAGGCAATCCTGCAGGGTGTCATTGCCGGGATGGCACAGCCAGTGATGCCCCGCTGTGTCCCTGTCACCCCATTTCCTCCCCAGAACCGATGGCTAGGAATCCACTATTTCATGAATATTCTTTCTGCATGCAGAATCCTGTGTTTTTTTTCCATCACCTCCTATCATCAAACATCAAAATGAATTCTCATATAAAAATGTTCTGTTTCTAAGATATAATACAAACCATGCCAATAATGTACCAACCATATTTTAATCATATCCTTGGAAAACTAGATGTTTTTGATAAAAATCAGTAAAAATCACTCCATATATAAATATGGTACCAAAATCTTAAGGAATTGCTTGCTGAATCCTATCCTCCTTTGGGATGAGCCTCCCTTATCTCATGTGGTAGGAAAATAAGGAAAATATTTTCTTTTAAAACCCGATAGTTGTAACTGTCTCTTCTTAAGTCTTTGACGGGTTGTGGTTGTTTATTACACAGTTCAGATTCTGGAAGATTAACAGCACCAACTTCTTTTATAAAGAAGGTGAGTTTGTCTTGACCTTAAAAATCGTTTCCATGATTTGTGGTTTTCCAGGTATTGCCCTGAATCTCTATTTTGTCTGATTTCGCAGAACTCATCCACAGGTGCTTAGAGAAGGCTCCAGGTTCTTGGTCACTGGGCTGGGGTAGCTCGTGTGTAGCACAGATCCCGGCCTGGGGGCACACAGCGAGCTCTCGCCTTGCCAAGAGTCACCGTGACCCAGTGATAAGAATTTATTTATGTCATTGCCCATCATATTTATTTTGTACAGTTATTATTTTATTCTGCTGCCAGCTATCTAATCCTTTTTTAAAAAACAGGATATATTGTTTTATTTTATTCCACTAATAAAATGCTGTGCAGCCTTTAAGATACCCAGAGTCCTTAAGGGACACTGGATGGCAACCAAGTGTTTGGGAATCTGCACCACCACCCCCCACCCCCCGCCCTGTAGGAGGGGGCTGGGAAGAGGTCCTAGGACACCTCCAGTTGAGCCTGGAGAGCTTCCCCACTCTCTGCCCACTCATCCCCCCGCTCCCCAACCCCCGGCTGCCGTGGAAACTCCCAGAGTCACAGCAGCAGTGATTTTTCCGTCGGCTGCTGGCTTTAAATTGAGACACCAGTGCCTTCCTGTAGGCCAGGGGTGGGTGGTGGCCCGAGGAAGGTTCCTGCCCCTGAGCCCTGTGCAGGGCAGGTCCAGCTGGACCGGAAGGCAGCTGCCCCTCTCCGGCCGCATTTTCACCAATCTGAGCCCCCCCAGGGGTCGGGGGTCAGGCTCCTGGGCCGCGGGCTGAGCTGGGGGTCACGGAGGGAGCACCTGGGTCAGCATGGTGGGCTGGCGAGGAGGGGAGTACAGCTCCTCATATGGGGGAGGAGAGAAGACCTCGACCCCCGGCGGGGTGGCTTCCAGCAGGTGGGCTGCGGGGCCAGATCTGGAACGGAGCAGAGCACACGCACCATTAGCGCCCACCGAGTCTGAAGCAGGGCCGCTGGCCTGGCCACGGGCCCCACCTACCTGTCGCGGCCCCCCGCGGATGACGGGCCACCTTGGTCGCCCACGAACACCGCGTTGTCCGCCGGGTAGATGGTGTAGTAGTGGGGAGGGCCGGGCGTGGGGCCGCAGGGGCTCCCTGGCTGCAGGAAGGTGGCGTTCACCCCAAGGGGCTCTTGGGAACCGTACGGAGGAGGGATGTACTGCACCACCGTGGCCCCGTGGAACGTGATGGGTTGGTTGATCCCCGTGAAAACAAACGACTGTCCTCCTGCCGTCTGCTCCGCGTCCGGGGCCCTTTCCTCACCTTCTCTGCACACCTGGCAGGACAGCATTTTGAACTTGCACACAGCGATCAGGATAAACGTGACCCCAACTGACAGCAGGATGGGCCCAAGGAGCTGGGTCCATTCAAAGTGAGAGACCCCCTGGTATTTGATCCAGCCCATGATGGTGAACGTGATCCCAACCAGCCCCAGGAAGATGCCTGAGAAGAGCAGGGTGGCCCCCGCCTTGTCGTCATCTGACACCTGGAGGTCGGCCGTGCTGGGCGTGTAGGGGGTCACGGAGAACACGTTGAGGGGCAAGTCTTCCACGTGGCCGCCGGCCCGCTCCATCGCCCGCTGCGACCACCGCGCTCCCTGGAGGGCCGGGGACTGGGAGCGCCCCTAAGAGCCGGGAGGGCTGCCCAGTTACTCATGGAAGGACTTTGGGCCCCCGGAGTTAACAGAGTGTGGCGGCAGAGGCTGAACCTTGAGTAGAAGAATAAAGGGCTGGGAAGCGGAGCCTGACGCTTCTGCGGTGGCGCGGTGGCATGGTGGCATGATGGGAGGTCCCCGCACTGGAATTCGCTGACAGGCTCTCCCATCCCCTTTGCTCGCTCACCCGGAGTCCGCGAGCCCGTCCTCGTGTGCTCCCAGGTGCCTCCCTGCAGGCGCAGGGCGCTGCGCCGGGCCCCGCTGGCATCCCCCCAAAACCAAGGTTGTGGAAATGGCAGGAGTGACCTTGGGGCCTCTGGCCGGGGGCCCTGGCTGTACCTGCCCCGTGTCAGACGCCCCACCACGTCCCTGCCGGCTCAGCTCCACGGGAGTAAACAGACGCCTTTCTTGGCTGAGCGTGCATCCTTCCCGCAGGAGGGAGCCCGAGCCATGAGGACCCACAACCTCCCATAACTCACTGAGCTCAAGGCGCTGTGGACTTCTCTCCCACCCACGTGCCTTTTGCTTTGAGCATGTGGGGGCTGGTTAGAAACCTACCCACGCATCACACCACGGGCAAAGGTGCACGAGCAGCGGGTACGACCTGGCGTCCAGGGGTCACGGCCTCAGACCCTTCCTCCCTGACAGCAGCACAGCCCCTGTGCCCCAGGTGAAGACAACAGCTACGTCTTTAAACTGCTGTGTTTTGCAACCAAACCCAAGCCAATTTAGAGAAGAAAGCTTGGTCCTCAACGATGTCCTCTGTCATCCATGACTACAGCAACGCAAAGCGGCCCCATGAACTTCTTCCTCTGCAGAACAGTGACTACAGCTCTCTGCCTTTCCTGGACAGGTCTTATTCAGATGGATGTCTCTCTTCCATGCTTAAATAGATTTTTTAAATATTTTATTTATTTATTCATGAGAGAGACACACACACACACACACAGAGAGAGAGAGAGAGAGAGAAAGAGCACGGCAGAGACCCAAGCAGAGGGAGGAGCAGGCTCCATGCAGGGAGCCCGACATGGGACTTGATCCCGGGTCTCCAGGATCACATCCTGGACCGAAGGTGGTGCTAAACTGTGGCGCCACCGGGGCTGCCCGGTGCTTAAATATTATATTAGCTCCCTTTCCCAATATTGAGCAGAAGGTCCAGGAAAACAGTTGCCCTCTTGCTCTAGGTAGGGCTTCCCAAACTTACTTGATGATAAAAATCACCAGGGCCACTTTTTCTAAAAGGCAAAATCTGAGTTCCTTACTCAGACCAACAGAACCCAAATCTCCAAAGGAAGTGTAAGTGCCCCAAGTGGCTTTCCTCATCGGGAATCTTTGTAAACTCTACTCCAACTTAACCCCAAATGCTCCTCGGTGACAAGGGGATTTTTTTTCCCACCGAAAATGCCTCCCTCCTGCTATGGGATAAGGCCTGTAATTTCCAACTTCATTTTCAGATGGGAAAGCAAGCAGGTGACCCCCTCAGGTGCCTTCCCAGGTGTGTCCCTGAGCAGCCAGGATGGAGTGGTGGTGCAATCGGAGTAGTCTGCCCCTTTTCCTGCTGAGCTAGATCAAAGATCCAGGGAAGCCAGCTTTTCTCTTTAATCATAAAAATTCTGGTCAGCTAGCCTGAAATTCTTTTCATGCTCTTAATCCCTGAGTTAACAGCTGAAACAGTGCCTGGCATTTAGAAAAAGCTAGGCTTTCAAAATTCTTCTTCTAAGTCACTCAGTTTGTGTTTCTCATTTATCTAGCTATATCCACCTGCAGTTAAGGGAACACTTAAAGAGCAGGGCAGAGAGATCACTTTTGTGAAAATAGCCCATGAATGCAAAACCAAAATGACTCTCAGAGCAGAGAGGTCAGGGAATTTAGTTAAATTTCCAAGGTCACCTTGATTTAGCTTCTCACTCCAAAAGTTCAAACTCTGTCCATGCGGTAAATAGCAATTTTTAAAAAACCTAACGAACCAAATTCAACAGCATATTAAAAGAATCCTGTGCTATGACCAAGTGGGATTTATTCTTGGAATGCAAAGATGGTTCAACATTCAAGCGTCAATCAGTGTAATGCATCATATCAACAGAATGAAGCAGGGGAAAAAAAGCCTTAGGTACTTATCTCAACTGACATCAGGAAAAAAAGTGCTAAGGATTATTAAACTTCTTTTTTTTTTAATTTATGATAGTCACACAGAGAGAGAGAGAGAGAGAGTCAGAGACATAGGCAGAGGGAGAAGCAGGCTCCATGCACCGGGAGCCCGACGTGGGATTCGATCCTGGGTCTCCAAGATCGCGCCCTGGGCCAAAGGCAGGCACCAAACCACTGTGCCACCCAGGGATCCCTAATTTTTATGTTTAGATTTATGTATTTATTTGAGAGAAAGTGCACACAAATTGGGGGAGGGGCAGAAGGAGAGAGTCCCAAGCAGAGCCCCCGCGGAGCACGGAGCCTGTCTCAAGGCTTCATCCTACCACCCGTGAGATCACAACCTGAGCTGAAATCACAAATCAGATGCTCAACCAACTGAGCCACCTAGGTGCCTCAAAAGTGTGAAGGAGGGGATCCCTGAGTGGCGCAGTGGTTTGGCGCCGGTCTTTGGCCCAGGGAGCGATCCTGGAGACCCGGGATCGAATCCCGCGTCGGGCTCCCGGTGCATGGAGCCTGCTTCTCCCTCTGCCTGTGTCTCTGCCTCTCTCTCTCTCTCTCTGTGACTGTCATAAAAAAAAAGTGTGAAGGATTATTAAACACTTATTATGGATCAGGTATGATTGTAAGTATTTAGTATTATTCCATCTTTTTAACAATCAGGTTATAGTCAGTCAAGCTCCAGGGCCCAGAGTCCCCTGTAGGTGTGATTACGGCAGCTTCATTGCAGTGGGGGAAAGTGAAAAGTGAAAGCACTTAATAAATAGAGACAAGATGAAAGTGTAATGTGCAATAAGGAATAAAGGATTACCAGGATATCTTGACCCACAAGAATCTGTGCTCGCGGCAAGCTGATCATAGTGTCTCTAGGAACAAAATGCATGAGCCTCCCACAAAAATGTTACTGGGTTTGTATAACATGAATAACTTCAGATCCGAAGTCTAAAAACCTGACTTATGTTATCACCACGGAGAGTCGGGCTTCTTACCAGGCCTGCAGACCTAAGCTGCCCAGAGACCCAGAGCTCTGTGACTGGAGAGGAGACTGGGTTCCCTCCCCTTGAGAAAGAGCTCAGCAGCACTGCCCCACGGTATTCTTTGAGTCTTCCTCTGACTATTCCTTCGAGCGCCGACAGCCATCCGCCCATGCTTCTTGGGAATTGACGTACATCGACTCTGAACTGATGCTCCTTTCTAGGGACCCAAAATGCCACTGTGGTCCATAAGTCAAAGTGGGGAGCTTATGATGGTCAGGTGACCCATGGAGTTTTGTCTTCTTTAAATGACAAAGGGGCCAGTAGGTCTATGAGTCCACCATGTGTCTATTGTCCAGTCCTTGAATGTAAAATATTTGGCAACTGGCAAATCCCCGATTGGCTCTCTACCCTGTGGAGTGAGGACTGCTCTAGGAGGAAGGACCTAGTAGAAACCCCTCCTTACTAAGATGGAAATACAAAAGGAATGCCACTTTCCTAGAGGAATTGCAGAAATGAACGTCCCCCTCAAAGAACGTCCCCCTCAAAGGGTGAAAGACACAGAGGTGGTGCCATCCCTGTTGAACTCAACTACGTGGCCTGTCAGGAAGGCAGGCAAGTCTTGAAGAATGATCGCGTATCAGTTTAATCCAGGGGTGACTCCCAGGGTTGTAGCTGGTGTTCCAGAGGTAGAGCTCAGCTGGAGCAAATCATCATAGCCCCCGGCACCGGGAAAGCAGTGATCATTCTGGCAAATGATGGTGTTTTTTTTCTACACCAAATTATTAAGAACCAATTCTTTCTCTACTCTCTTCCAAATTTTTATCAGTGTAAATGAACTGTCTCAAATGGCGTATAGTCTCTGTGATCAAGTAAGTCTCTTCCTTCAATTTTTAAACTCCGTGCCACCGGGTGCAATAAAAGCCTCCCAATTTCCCCTTGCAGTTGCTGTTCAAGAATGCTTAGCACTGAAACTTGAGAAATATTTGTTGACCAAGCCAACTTTGTGAGCCCTTTGTCTTTGAGGTGAGCGATCCAGGCACTCGTTTGGTCCAAAATTTGACCCTTTGTACTGTAGGATATTTTTATTAATGAATAAAAATAATAACGACTCATGGAGCAGTGGCTCTCCAAGCACAGGCTCTGGATCAGCAGCATCAGGAGCATCAGGCAACTTGTTAGAAATGCCAATTCTCGGCCCCTCCTCAAACCTAGAGAATCAGAAACTCTGCGAGTGAGATCCAGCCCTTCGGATGAACCCGATGCCTGTTGAAGTTTAGGAGCCACCACAGTAAAGAAATATGTTGAACTAAAAATGACAGTGCCGTGACTGTCTTTAGAGGTGATAATTTCCAGTACATTTAACCCAAAAACATATTTCAGGTTATGCTTTATGAAACAACCCTCAGGCCCATAGTTTTTCTTAGTATCATCCTCTGGGCACCTAACAGGAAGTACCTTTCAGCATTTATATAAAAAAATTCCTGTTAGGGCCAGATGGTGGAGGGAGTACAGTGAGCCTGCGCTGCACAGACATCCGGGCCTGGAGGACGGAGCGACCTTGGCCTGTGAGCTCCGTGCCTACTGCTCGGCCGAGAGGCCTGTGACACAAATTAGGTTTCTGTTCATTATAAAATCAAAGGTGGCAGGACCTTGGAACCACACTTTCTTACCATGTTGGCTCCTTCCTAACAAGTCAAGGTCAGAAGTCGGTGTTCCCCTGCTCGGGGACGCGGGTGCAGAGCGGGAACAGCCCCATCCCCAAAGGCCCCACAGCGCATCGGGCTCAGCCTAGGAGGGCAGCTGCAGGAGGGGCAGGGCCTGGAGGTTGCAACAAGGGGACAGTGCCCGAGGGAAGCTTAGAGGTTGGTGGCCATGGCCGGAGGGGAGGCTGGCAGCCTGCGATGTAGAGGGGGTAGGCCGGC